ATTCAAACAAATCTCATAAATCTTCTATCTTGTCGCCAAAATTCCTATCAAGTTCGTAAAAAACGACCTCTAAAACTTCTTTTCCTTATCTCATTACAGGAGGAAAAGATATATTTCATAACACAATTTTCTTTCTCTTTGACGCTTAAAACTTTTTTTCTTTATTCCTTCAATCTTCGAAACTGTTGTAGCAGGACATATTTGTTCCAACTGTTATTATACACTTGGCAGCCTCCCAAGCTGCAGGTGGCCAAGAAGCGCGCCAAAAAGACATGGCGTTATTCTATTTATGCTTATGCTTTTAATAAAACAAAAGTTTGTTTGAACAAGTTCGGAGTTATTTTTATTGCATAATTAGATATCTATAGCCTTTTTTGATGTAACTGTTTGAATGAAGTGGTTCTTATTTCAAGAGGTAGTAGTGTAGATTTTTATTTTGTGTGTAGTATTTTTCACGCGTATTTTTTATTTTTTTCTGTAGTTGTTTCTAAGATTACTTAGTGTGCAACTAAGCCTTTTCTTCTTTAACCCATCTGTGTCTAGCGTCCTTTGAAAAGGACGTCTCTTTCTTTTTTTTTTAAAAAAAAAGTAATATTGTAATTGTTTTGTTATTAGCATTTACTAACTTACTAGCCTACACAGAATCACTTTGATTTCAATTTTAACATACTCTATCTATTTTAACATACTCGATGATTAGTTCCCATAGAGTTAGAAACACGGTAAATATTACCACATTCTGGTAGTTTTAACAATACTTTTTTCTCTCAATGTATTGGCAAAAGGTGTAAATTAGTATTTTTTTAAACTTTTACTATTTGTTTTCATAATTAAAATACTAAGCAAAATCTTTTTTCTCTTTTTTTAACTTCATTATTAACCAATGGAAAAAACTTTTTTTCTAAAACATTTTAGATTTCCTTCGAATATTTTTTCATTCAAACCTTAAATAATGAGCTTTCTATAACATATGCAAATTAAAGCAGAACTAAAAAAATTATTGGTGGCTATTCCTCGTTGTTCTAAAGAGAATAATATTAATGTTCTTACAGAGACAGTCTCTATCCTACTTCTATTCTCTAAATCTAATTTCCAGTCAGTTTTTACTCTTCAAAAATGTTCAATTTGAATATTTTGCAATTTTAGTTTTATTTTTTTACCCACTGAACGCGCTTTTAGTTATATCAACGTAAGTAAAATAGTATATTACAATGTGACACATGATTGCAAACCACATTAAAAACCTCTTGTTTTTGTATTTCCTTCCATAAGCAATTATTTGTAATAATTTGGTTAATGGGATTTTTATGTAAACTTTAATGAATTTAGAAGGAGAATATAATTAGTATTAAACAAAAGAAAGGAACTATTTATGCAAATGGTAATGACACGCATCGTTCATAAATATTTTATACAATTTTAAAAATATCTATGCAATAAGAATCAGTAAAATTTATTGCTATTAGTTACATTTGAAGGAAAAAAATTATGTAGAAAATAAATATCGTGATTTTTCATAAAACACTTATTTAATGAAAATTATACTATTTTCGTAAAAAAAATCATAAACTTTTCTCTCTTCTATCTATATATATATATTTATATTTTTCTTATGTAGCACCATAAACTCTGGTATTTTTCTATCTTATGGCTACACTATTGTTATTTAATTTCCAAGGTTGTGCTAAGTAATAATTTAGGTTGTGATAAATAATTAGTTACCCGTAAGTATTTATTTAGATTCATTTTGTTAGGTTGTCTAGAGTAATAATTTAAATAGCGTTGAATAGTTAGCTATTATTTAAATATTTATTTCGTAGTAATTTTATACATTTTTTTTTAAAGAAAAGTTTAGTTGCTGTGTAATAATTTTGATTTACAATCGATCCTTTCTCAAATGGCTGTACGAAAAACGGGAGTCATGGTGCTGCACATTGTCATATCAATTATTGGTGAAGATTTTCTCTTTCGAGAAATAGCGAGGCGGAACTTCCAATAAGATTATTAAATACGAATTCCCTAGTATATAAGACATGTTAACTTGATTCCTTTTTGAGTTACCTAATGGTAGATGAAGGTTGGCTTGATTGACAGCACACTTTCTCCACAATAGCATATATATATGCACAATACGATATTCAAGTTACCCGAGAGGTGCCGCGTAGTGCAGCACATAATGGAACATGACTTTTTTTATATTCTTATCTCACAAAAGAGATGGAAATAATTTTAATACTTCCACTGGCCTACTATGCTGATATGTTCCGATCTCATACTTACCCTGGTTTGCGAGATTTAATGGCTGCTGGAGAGATTTTAAATTATATTACTAAAATTCATAATACATAAAGAATTTAAGATAATTTCACGGACATCTCTTAAAACAAGTTAAAATTGAAATCAAAGTAGTACTTCTGTACGAGCATAGGCAGCTAGATTTTTGCAAAAAAATTTTTTTAATATATTGTTTAAAATTAATTAAGATGCTAAGAGTTTAGGAGGGTTGAAAAATTATGAAGTAAATTTTAGATAAAGTTGTGCGTGCATTCGGCTTAGTTGCAATTAAAGCTTACATGTTGTACTAGATTATATTGAAAGTTGACTAAGCAAGTTCCAGTATTTAATAAAATAATACAATGAATTACACTTCTGGGATCTGTATAATCTGTAATAAATCAATGTCTGACTAGCTGGAATAAAGAAGGAAGGAAAACCTAATCTGAAGTAATTTGATGGTCTTGAGATCTTTTGGTCTTAAAAACCGATAACTGGAAAACGTTAGCAGGAAAGAAAAGTAGTGGAAAAAGGTTCTTCAAAGGATAAAAGCCCACTTTGGCTTGACGAACTGTAGAAGAATGACAGTTTTAAAGGTTAAATTGTTCTTAGAACGAAGTTATTTTTGAGAAAACTATCTGAGAAATTAAAATGTTACATTTATTTTTTTACAAAATTATTTATAATAAATGTTTACTTTCGAAACTTTTGCTCTCATTGATGTCACGAAAGCTCAATAAAGATATATTTTACTAGCACAAAAACGACTGCTCGTAAAAATCTAGTGTTTGCCAAAAAATTAACAATTCGGTAATCAATATAGTGGGGAATTGCTTACTGCTGGTTACTGGGATATTTTGGATTAATTTAGTTCATCCTTTAAATGCTCATATTTTACCAAAATTGTAATCTTGCTTTAAATTGTTTTACCTGTTTGTCAAAATACACAAATTCATGTGGAGAATTCGAGTAGTTTATTGTATTGAGGTAAGTCTAATAATAAAATCAGAGTACAAAAAAGTGGGAAAAGTTTATCCTTTTCTTAAAGTATTCCTTTTATATATACGAAGTAAAAATTTTTCACAGATTTAAAAACAAATGCTCTTAACGCTTTTTGATGGGAACACCAACATTCTAGGTTTTTTTTTTTTTTTTACTTCCTAACTTAGAAGAAGGTGAATATCGAGAAACCAATCAATTGTTTTTAACTTATTTTATATCAAAACTAAAAGATGAACATTAGAACTTACTTTAGTAATTTTTTTTTCCGTTATTGTTTTTGGAAACAATAAAATATGTTTTTTCCTTAAATTTATAGTCCGATATGTGATTTAAGCAATCGATTAAAATGGTATTGATTGATATTTTTTTAAAGTAATGTTTTTCTAAAAAACATTTTTTTTAAGTAAGCATTTCTAAAAGTTAAAATTTACCTTAATACACAAATAATAATATTTAAAACAACTTATACAAAGAAAATTGTCAATTATCAGATCTTACTTTAAAATAAAAAAATAAGAATTTTTTTTAAAAAATAAATGTCCCTAGGTATTAAAAAATCGTTCAAACTTTTTTTGATAAAATACCGCTGTTTGGTAAAAGTAATATACAACTTCTGCAAATGAAATTTATTTTACAATAATTTACGTAATATAGCTGTATTCAAATTCATTGCTTTGAATCTCCTTTTGAAAATTTAAAATTAAAAACTAGATAATAAAAACTAGAAAATGAAAACTAGATATTTTAATTAAAAATTACAAAAAACATAATATCAACATTGTTTAGATCGAGTGTAAGCAATAAGATATTGTTTGAAGTTTATGCTTAAATTTTATATTACCATATTCAAATAATATGGCTCTACCCATTAATAAAAGAAGGGTGGTTATTGCGCAATCTGTATCTTATAATTTTTGAGATAGCTTTCAAAATGAAGAAATCTATCTAAAGTTTTTTTTAAATAATTTTGTAACTAAAAAATGATTTTAAAAAAGATCCTTAGATCCAGTTTTAGAAATCCTTAAGTTCCAGACACCCAATCCTTAACAAAATACTACCATCGAGAATAGATTAGAGCATAAGATATAAAGATTAAGATATGCTAATTTAAACTTAACTACGTATATCAACTTAATATTATTTATATTATATCATTTCAATTTATATAACTTATATTATATCTTACATCATAACTATATTATTTAAATTTCTGACGAAACAAAATTCTGATAAGCAATATTAAATTGGAAAAAAAAGCTTTTTTTGAAAAATTTAATGGGCTTTCTGGCACAGGCTCTTCTAACTGAATAAATCAAACACTACTAACTCTTACAATGTTTCTAACATCCATGCAAAATAATTTTTGTACTTTTTTAAATGTATTTAAGCATTTTTCTGTAATAGTAGTCCAGAAATTATTTTTATGTACCATTTATGTAATAGTAGTCTAGAAATTATTTTTGTGAAAAATAAAACGATTACAGAAAAAAGCGCGTGAAAATAGTTATAAAATATCTGAAAAAATTGGTAGACATTAAAAAAACAAGTTTTTTACCGTTAAAATACAATTAGTTCAAATATTTTAAAATCTAAATAGTTATAGCAATAAAAATATAAAATAACTGGAATATTATTTAAAAATTGGAAAACATATACTCTGTCAGAATGGCAGTTTGTCATGGAAAAAAAAATTAAATAACTTGAATAAACATGCAAATACTTACGGAGATTACTTCCTCCATATGCTGTATGAAATAGAAATCCGAAAAGTATTACCAAATGAGTACACCAATATCCGAAATTGTGCACACTCTTTGTATATACAGTGTTACAAACATGTGAAAGTTTACGATGCATCATTTTGATATCACCATTGAGTAAAAATGTTATACTTTTATGAAAAACTGCTTGACAAATGAAAATGTAGCTCACGTTGTTAAAAATTCTTAATTCGAAATCAGCTCTTTACAGTTCGAAATATACCACACTGAAACAGTTTAGAGTAATCCATACCAATGGATTTTTTCATCCTATGTTCTTATGTCACCAGTTGAATTGAAAACATGATCTTAATGTACTTTGAAAACAATGATTTCCAGACACAGACACATATACATTAGAATGTGCATGTTTTTCAACATCTGAATATAATTCACAGTTAAAGAAAAAAAAATTAAAAGTTCGTTCTTTAGTGAGTTTTTACTATGGAGACGATAAATAATTCAAATAATTCGTTTTCAAACGAGTTTTTTCCTTGTAAAGTGGAATAATTAATCTTATTAGCATTCTTGATGTTATAATGTAATAAAAATTTTAGTTTTCTTGATCCATTATTTTGCTGAAAGCCGTTTTAAAAATTTATAGAACTATTTTAAATTTTTTTATTTCCAACTACTCTTCACAATTAAAGTGGCAACGTGAATAAATATCCTTGACACTAGGAACACACAGTTTGAACTATGGCAAACAGAAAAACTAAAAACTAGTATCCATCATATAGTTCTAAAAAGATTTGAATGAAATTTTGTTTGTTTATACTAAGACAGCAAATAAAAACAAAAATTTTACATCTCTTATTTTTTTTCTACCTTCTAGACTTGATAAGAGTGTAAATTTCTAACGAAAATAAAATATTCCATCTTTATAGAGACTTGAAGAAAACCACAACAGCCTATAAATCCATCATAGTCATATTTATTAGTGGATTATTATTTCAACTCAACATATTGAATTACAAGTTCTCAACACAACACTATTTATGAGGATTTAACAAAAAATACCAAAGAAAAATAAATATTCAAAAATAATTATTCACAAATAATTTTTAAAAAAAAAGGTGGTTAATAATTCAATATCAGAAACAATCGAGCGCAGTACCGAATATATAGAATAAAAAAGTTCTTAATAGACTACCGCAAAAGAACTCTTCACCGTTATATGTGAGAAAGCCGGGAAATCGCAAGCAGAACTGATGGTGATGAAGAGCAGACGATTTTTGCACCCCCGCTTTCGTCCCGACAGGGGGCGCTTAGATGGAGTCGAGAGAAACCGGGGAGCCTCCTCGCCAAACCAACAGGTGCTGTTTCGCGCCAAAAACTTATTTTTTTATCCCGAAGCTGATGTTCAAAATCATATTTAAATACATAAAAAAAAAATCCCTAATTAATTATGAAACATTTATGCACCGTAAGCTTCCATTTAATTTTAGGACATGCTTTATATGCTTCTTTAATGCATTACTCAGAGTTTGGGAAAATAAAAAGAAATAATCAGTTTAAAGTCATGGAGGTTGGAATAAAAATAATTTAAATGTCCAGATTCAGCTCTTTGGTGTCCTCTCTGTCGTTACCGGTTTATAACGATGAACGTGTAGAAGATACAAAAGTTTAACAAGAAATGTAACATAATTTTTTAAAAAAGAATATATATTTATATACATAAACCCTTTGCCTAACTGAACATGAGCTACAAATGCAATTAGTGTTTGTCACGTGAACTCTTTCCCGATGAATTTCAGCAAAACTTCTATACATTATTTAAAATTTATGGCTAATATTTTGCAGAAGTTTTCGTATGCTACGAAAAATAACACACTGTGCTATTTTTTTTAATAATTAATCTAACTAATTGATCCATGATGTTGTAGATTTTGCTAAACATAGATAAAATTTCAGAAAAAATATCTGTGGCATGAAATCTTAAAATTAGATCGTGTTTTTCATTAATTTATATAATTCATTAGAAAATTGCACATCTATTTTATTTTCCCTAACGTAGGATTAACATGAATTCCACATCATTTGCATGCAATCTGAACTCTAAATTAGCTTGCTATGATTTTATTTGGCGTGTATATTTGTGTTTGAACATTACTGAAAAGTATTTTAGATTTTTCTGCTAATTAAAATTTTAATTTGTTAAAACCATAGTTAAAAACGTTCCAGATTAAATCTATAACTTCCATTGCGCTGAGACATTATAGATGTCATTAAGTATTAATTTCAGTTTTTAATTCTTTTAATAATATGTACAGTCTTGCTATTTTTTACTTTTTTTTTTTAGAGAAAAAATTTTAAAAAAAATGTTTGTGGCATTTTATACTATAGACTTAGAAGCAAATGTAGTAAATACAGTATTTAATAAGGCGATAATAAGATTTTAATTTTTCCTGATATTTTTTTGTTATATTTTATTTTTTAATCTGTGCTGCCGCTGTCTATAAGCCTAATTTATAGTGACATTTATGTTTAAGAACATTTATTTTACCTATACTGTTTGGAAACTATTTATTACTAGTAAAGTTTAAAAAGCGTTATTACAAAAGTACAGTGTATTGCGACCTAGGAGGGCTTAAAAACTGTAAAAATTAAATTTAACTTGACACTCGAAATAGGCTTTTCGTATTAGATAATCGATATGGGAGTTAGGTTGCGGTTGATTTGTGTTTTGTTAAATAAAAAGCGAAATGTCATTTAATTGTTTTTTCTGGTAGTGCCATCTATTGTGAGACGTAAGAAATACTATTTTTATATGTTACGCAGCTCTGTGCGTTACTATCATCAATATGTGAATAATAATATCGTATTGCAATGTTCGAAAATTACCAACTGAGAAGTGCAGAACATTGGACAGTCTTCATGTGCTGAAAGAATAGAAGATATATTATGGTGTCAGCGCTGGGATTCGAAGCTAGGTACTGGTATGTACCCAGCTGTAAGAAACAAAGAGGTTTCATAAGGTTGCCTTAGTTAACACGGATAAAATTAATGTTCTTTAACCGTATTTAGGTTAATAGAGTTAATAAACGATTTCTCTCAAAGTTTTCATTTTGAATGCCGTTTTTTTTAACATTTATTTTACTATTTTGGTTGTATACGGTAAAATAACAATTTAATAAATTGTTATTTAACCATTTTTCCGAGAAATTTCTAACAGTGAAGTTCGTATGTAAAAACTAGTATTAAGATTACCATACATGGAGATGAAAATTTGCAGTTTTAAGCAAACCTATCAAACCATTAAGTATAATTCGTAGTTCTAGAAATTACGTATCTGCCTAATTGGAATGGTTAGTTTAACAGACTATTGCTTGAGGTGTTAATTTAATGGAATGAACCTCCAATTCATAAAGCTTCAAATCTTTTAAAAGAGTCCTCAAATAGAGATTTTCATAACGAGAAATTTCAATTTTTAGGTTTTTATCAGCAACTCTTTGTTAAAAATATCTAATTATGCATGAAACATCTAACTTTGTAGAAAACATCTATTTCATTGATAGCATGCTTCAGGAGAAAGGGGGTTGCCATTTACGGATGATAAATAAGATTTTATTTTAAACAACTTAAAAACTTTCCAGTGTTTTCACATTTAACTAAAGCAAATTACACTACTTGACTTCCTGATTAGTTTTATATGTTGTAGACAAATAAGTCTTAAGAACGATGAAAAAATGTGTCATAATTTAAATATTTAAGCTTAATTTAATTTTTGATTTTTTATGCCATATCAACTTACTGTCTGAAAGGGAAAAAAATATTTCTTCTGTTTTGTTAAATATAACACAAATAGCTTCGTATGTCTGTATTTTTATTAATTTGTTTGAATTCCATACGTCTAAAAAAGAAAAAAAATATTTCTTCTGTTATGTTAAATATAACACAAATAACTTTATATGTCAGCTTTTTTATTCATTAGTTTGAATTCCATACGTTTATGAGTGGAACATCATATTTAGTTATACAAATTATTAATATTTCAATACATTTGCAATTTTATTATTTTTGACACGCATGTCAATTTATTCAATAATTATAAAAACGTTTTAACAATATACATTTCCTTTCTAAAATTTATTGAAAAACGTTATTGTAACTAGCAAAAACGTTATAATTTTTGGAGAAATTTCAATCCAAAACAAAACTACTTTCTGGGGAAATATTCTCTGAAAATTTTCCGCTTCCCTCGAAATATCCATGAAAACAAATGAACAATAAAAAAATTAATTTGAAGAGTGTTCTGTAATAACACCCTTAAAATACATCTTCAGAATCCTTGTTAATAAATTATTGTCATTTGAGGTTTCAAATTAAGCCAATAAAAATTGAAATAACCATAACCTAAATAAAATGAATCAATATTGAAGAAGAGGACTGAAAAAATGAAAAATGTTTGGTTTCCATAGAAAATTTAAAGTTGATACTCTTTAATTTTCCTCAAACAATGAAACTAGTCTTGATATTTCTACCCCGCCATCAGCACTAGTTATTTTAAATCTTTAGATAGCATTTAGGTTATTTTTTCATGATTAAATATTAAATTTTATGTCCGTAATGTGTTTACTTTTTTTCTTGCCTTTTTTTCTTTCCCAGGATTGTAAGGATACGCATATTGCACAGTTATTACAAAACACTCTGTCTATACCGTGAGGGTTTCAGGATCAGGATATTTAATGGATATAAAAACCTAAAAGTAGATGTTACATAATATCTAAATGAGTGAATAACTTAAATTTGTTATTGAAAGGTATGGTACCACATAATGAAAAGCCTCATCTTTTAAACTGCTTAAACAAAGTGATTTTGTTGATGAACACCCCAATTTCCATCTTGAGAGTGGGACGTTGAGAGTTTGTGCATTGTGCTGCCATTAAGTGAATGTTTAAAGAACCTCTCATGAAACAATACTAAAAAAATAGTTTGATATAAAGATATCACCTGTATAAAAAGTACAACTAATGATATACTGTAAAAAATGATTGCTCAAATCTCAGGATCTTTTCTACGTTTTTGATAAAGCCATTTCCTGGTTAATGCCCAGAGCCGAAATTTCGTCAAAACGATGTAGTAACTATCGTTTTTTTTTCAAGAAAAGAAATTTTATCAAAATTAAAAAACTACATATTTTTTCACTTTATTTTTTTTCAGGAAAGAAAACCATGTAGGGCTTAGAAAACTAAACTTTTCTAATAATAAATTTATCGTGGACACCATATAGGAGTATCAATTTTATTTTAAAAGTACAATAGAGATTAATAGATAATAGCGGGATTCGAACCCGGTTTTTTGTTTAAGGCGTACTTTTTGATCACCCTAGGATGACCAGCTTGTTTCGTCAATATTTTCGATCATCTAATTTTCATTCTAGTTTTGTCACTCTAGTTAACAATCTTCCACAGTGCACTGCGATGAGGTTCCGAATAGAGGGAACATTTTTATCATCTATCTGAGAGTGTGCGCTATTTTATCACAAATCACGTGATTTGTTGACAAAGTGAATCTCAAAATTAACGAAATACCGCTCAAAGATTACTGATGCATCATAAGTGAGAGTTTTATTTCTGAGAATGTATAAGGATTAAGAAAAAATTGATACCTAGTTTAGAAAAAAAATGGACTTGTGTTTAAAAAATAAAATAACTGAGGGGACTTTACTTGTTCACTTTTATTACCGTAATAGTCCTGTACATCATATGATAGACAATTTTTCCCTATATATTTTTATACTTAATATGGAGACGTGACTTTTTCCTTTCTGAAAAAAATCCTTTTCCCTACCGTGCTTGCTCGTTATCCTGAGAACACATTTGCTATTCAGCACAGCAGTGACGATTGACCATGGTAACATAGGGAAAAGGCGGGACTTTACAATAGCAGCTTTACAGTACAAATTCAAATTCTTTGAAGTCCGTGTTTTTTCCCTACTTTTCTTTCCTAAGATGCATACGCTGATGCTTTTTCCCTACTCATCACAATGCACTGAGTTTTGTTTGAGGGGAAAAATGGAATTCTTTTAGAAAGTCAAGCCATTTCTTGAACCAAGGAAAAGGAAGTATCTTTCTTCATGTTCTTTTGGAACTTTTTTTTCTTCCATTCGTTCCCTCTTCCAAATGTATCGTCCAAATTCGTAAGAGTTTGAAAGGGATGAACGGATATGCTTCCCCGGTTGAATAAGCGACCGAGTACTCTGCTATTAAATTCCTCTTGCTTTATATTTCTGCTTTTTTGCTAATG